CCCGACATTCATTCATTTTTTTTCAAAAATAATAGAGCAGGACCCCCGGGATTTTTTTGAGTGTTAGAAAGATACCAGCGGGCCCCAAGATTCTTTAATTTTTTTTCAAAAATGGACCACCAAAGATCCCCAAAAACGTAAGAGCCCCGACATCCCTTCAAATTTTCCAGGGGTTATTTAAATTTGTTTGCATTTTTTTTCAAAAATAATACAATAGGAACCCCCCCGAGACTTTTTCCAGTGTTAAAAAAAATGGATCCCCGAGACCTCTTCAATTGATTCAAAAAATAAAATACCATGGGCATTCTTTATAGTTTTTTTCAAAAATTATTAGCACGAATACCTGAGAATTTTTGTTTTCAAAAAAAAAAATTGTAGAGTCCCCAAAATACTTTCAAATTAAAAAAAAGTGGGTTCCCGTGAGATTTTTTCCACATTGATTCACTTTTTTTCATAAATAATAGCGCAGGACCTTGGAATTTTTTCGAATGTTAAAAAAAATATTAGAAGGCCTCAAGATTCTTCCAAATTTTCTCAAAAATGGAACAAACATTCCCAAGGGTTCTTTATAAAATTTTTTTCAAAAATAATATAGCAGGAATCCCAAAAAAGTGTTAAAAAACGTCGAGTTCTTCAGATCCTTTCAAATTCTTCTAAAAACGAAATTTCAGGTTCCTCAGATTTTTTTTATTCTTTCAAAACTAAAGGGCCTCCGGGGTTATATTAAATTTTCCAGGAAAAAAAAACAGTTATTTCAATTTTTCTCAAAAATAATACAACAGGAACCCCCTAGATTTTTTCAAGTGTTAAAAAAGAAGGGTTCTCAAGATTTTTCAAAATTCTTAAAAAAAAATTTTTAGAGTTCCCCGACATTTTTTTAAATTCTTTCAATGTTTTCAAAAATTATTAGCACGAACCCCTGAGATTTTTTGTGTTTAAAAAAAATCAATAAATAAATAAAATAAATGTAGACCCCAAAATTCTTTCAAATTTTCAAAAAAAAAGTTTGTAAATTTCTTTCATAACAAAAGGAGCCTCCAAGATTAAATAAATTTTTCTGTTTTTAAATATAACATCACGGGCCCCCAACATTCTTTTATTTTTTTTTTCCAGGGGTGATTTTTTTCTTTTTTTGTCTGTTTTTATTGTAGTCCTTGCTATCTTGCTAGAAAACTCTAAAACTGGACACTTTTTTTAACTTAAGAAGTTTCATATGATCTAGAACTACAAAATTTCAGTTGCTCTTTCCTTAATAATGTCAAAATCTGAAAATTTAGAGGTTCCAAAATTCATAAAATTTTTTATAACAATTTGACATGCATAGAGAAATTTTAGCATTTTTTTTAAATAAATTATTTTTAACAATAGTTTGAAAATACAGAGTAAGATATACAGGGTCATTAAGCGTGATATCCCGATTATTGGAAAGAAGTTGAAAAAAAAAAAGTTCAAGACAATAGTCGTACGATCCTTCAAGGGACACCCTATATATTTTTACATATTCTAATTGGCCTCTTTCGAGATTTTACTATTTTTGAATGCCGATGTGACATCGTTTCGTTATTCCAATTTTCTTGGACGATTTTCTACCAATTAAAAAAAATAAATTGAGTCTTAATATACAGGGTCTCTATAAATAAAAATTGATAAAACACCCTATATTTTATATCTGTAGCTTCTTCTGTTTTTTATTTTTTTTTGTATTTTTTGTATTTTCTAAAGTTGACAGTTTTTGCATTTTTCACTTTTGTAAGATACACAGCGACATATACAGGGTGTTTTAGTTGATGGTAATGTTTGGGGATTTTTATAAACTCTGTACAACAAAATTTAATTTAACGGACATTATAACAAAGCGTGGTTCTTTTGTGAACCCTTGAATTACTAAAAAACTTTAAACAAGGACCGAATCTTCTAAATTTTCTACTTGAAAATCAAATATCTGGAACATTTTTGAAATTGATTTATTTCATCTTGGTTATTGTCAAGAAAACATAGTAATTTTTGGAAAAAATAAAGCCTACAATAACTTCGAAAGTGATCGAGAAAGCGTCAAAATTTTCATAAGGGGAGGAGTTTAAAAAAATTTAGTTTTTGGAAAACTTGCCTAAAAATTCGCTAAAAAATTCTGGAATATAGTTCTCGACGTGTTGATTGACGAAAAATAGCGTGTTTATAGTTCTGGACCAAGATTTTCGAAATTTTTCGTCTGAAATCAAATTTTTGGAAAATTATAAAAATTGACGTATTTCATATTGGTTATTCTCGGGAAAACATAGGATCTTTTGGAAGAAGTAGAACTGACAATAGCTTCCGGAGCCCGAAACCTACGTAAAAATCCCTTCGGGTAATTTTTGAAAGTGGTCGAAAAAGCGTCAAAATTCCATAAGGGAGGAATTTTGAAAAATTTAGCTTTGAAAAACTTGCCTAAAAATTGGCCAAAAAATTCTAGAATATAGTTCTCGACCTGCTGATTTGGTTAAAATAGCATGGGTAAAGTTCCGGAGCAAGATTTTCGAAATCATCGGTTTGGAATCAAATTTTTGGAAAATTGTAAAATTTGACGTACTTCATATTGGTTAATCTCACGAAAACATAGGAATTTTTGGAAGACACAAAGCCGATAATAACCTCTGGAAACCGAAATTTACACAAAAATCTCTTAGGGCAATTTTTGAAACTGGTCGAAAAAGCGTCAAATTTTTCGTAAGAGGAATTTTAAAAAATTAAGATTTTGGAAAACTTGCCTAAAAATTCGCCAAAAAATTCTGGAATATAGTTCTCGACGTGCTGATTCGGTAAAAATAGCGTGTTTATAGTTGCGGAGCAAGATTTTCGAAACCTTTGGTTTGAAATGAAATTTTGTAAAATTCGAAAAATTGACGTATTTCACACTGGTTATTTTTGGAAAAACATAGGAATTATTTGGGAAGAAATACAGCCGACAATGACTCCCAGAATCCGAAAATTACCCAAAAATCCTTTCGGGTAATTTTCGAAAGTGGTCGAAAAAGCGTCAAAATTTTCATAAAGGGAGGAGTTTTGAAAAATTTACGTTTAGAAAAACTTTCCCAAAAATTCGCCAAAAAATTCTAGAATATAGTTCCCGAAGTGCTGATTCGGTAAAAATGGCGTGTTTATAGTCCCGGACAAGATTTTCGAAATGTTCGATTTGAAATCAAATTTTTGGAAAATTTAAAAAATTGACGTACATATTTTATATTGGTTATTCTCGGGAAAAGATAGGAATTTTTGGAAAAAATAAAGCCGACAATAACTCCAGGAATCCAAAATTTACACAAAAATCCCTTGGGATAATTTTCAAAAGTGGTTGAAAAAGTGTCAAAATTTTCATAAGGGGAGGAGTTTTGAAAAATTAAGCTTCTGGAAAACTTGCCTAAAAATTCGCCAAAATATTCTGGAATATAGTTTTCGACTTGTCGATTGGTAAAAATAGCATGTTTATAGTTTGTAGGCAAGATTTTCGAAATCTTCGGTTCTAAATCAAATTTTTGAAAAATTGTAAAATTTGACGTATGTACTTCATATTGGTTAATTTCACGAAAACATAGGAATTTTTGGAAGAAACAAAGCCGATAATAACCTCTGGAAACCGAAGTTTACACAAAAATCTCTTAGGGTAATTTTTGAGGCTGGTCGAAGAAGCGTAAAAATTTTCATAAGGGGAGGAGTTTTAAAAAATTTAGTTTGGGAAAACTTGCCTAAAAATTCGGCAAAAAATTCTGGATTAACTCGATGTGCTGATTCGGTAAAAATAGCGTGTTTATAGTCCCGGAGCAAAATTTTCGAAATCTTCGGTTTGAAATCCAATTTTTGGAAAATTTTGAAAATTGACGTTTTTCATATTGGTGATTCTGTAGAAAACGTAGGAATTTTTGGAAGAAATAAAGCCGACAATAACTTCTAGAGACCAAAATGTACACAAAAATCCCATCGGATAATTTTGGAAAGTAGTCAAAAAAGTATCGATAAAGTTTAAAAATTTGATGTTTGCCTAAGATTTTGTAAATTTCTTTCATAACAAAAGGAGCCTCCAAGATTAAATAAATTTTTTGTGTTTTTAAATATAACATCACGGACCCCCAACATTCCTTTATTTTTTTTTTTTTTAGAATCAGTAGGAACACCTGAAATTTTGTCAATTGTTTTCAAAAAAAATAAATAAATAAATAAATCGTACGGTCCCCAAAATGCTTTCAAAACAAAACACCAGTGGCTCTTAAAATTCTTTCAAATTTTTAATAAAATATAGAACACCACAAATCCAGAAGATTTTTTTTTTCAAAAATAATACAGCAGGAATCACCGAATTTTCTTCAAATGTTTCCAAAAACAAAATTTCATTACCCGAAAGATTTTTTTTTCTATATTCTTTAAAAATTATATCAAGATTCTCTAATGTTTTTTTTTCAAAAATACAAGACCAAAAAAATGCCCCCTCAACATCCTTTCAAATCTATTTCAGGATCAACCGGCCCTTTTGAAATTTTTGTCAAAATAAAGTCCTATTTGGACAAAACGAGAAAACTTTGAATTTAATCACCCTGTGTAAATAAGAAAACATCAATTTTTACAGGTTTTATCAAGGCCAGCTAACTAAAAAGTCCATCTTTAAATATGGGGAAGTTAAAAAATTTCCAAAAATGAGAGGTTTTTTCAAAAAAATTCAAATATTGATCAAAAAATCTGGGTACCCAATATCATGTCTCCCTTTTATAATGAGAAATCTGAATTATATAAAATTCCAAGCCCACATGTAGATTGATTTTGTTAGCTTGTTAAAGTAGACTTCAATATTAAACCCCAACTGACAACAAAAAATTTTTCGTAATAACTTATCACGATAAACTGTTCAACCGAATCCAAGAACAAATATAACGGCATTAATAAAACTACATACAAAATAAAAATCTGCTGTTTTTAAGATTTCGCAAGACGTGTAAAACACACACAGAATCAGTAATGCAGCAATTACGTACCATGATTGGTTGGCTGGAGCTCGGGGCGTGCCTAAACACGTCATCCTCGTCGTCGGTCTCCGGTGGTGGGGGACGCATCGGGGCGCCATCTTGTGGAAGAGGTGGTCTCGGCGGCGCCATCTCTACACAACACCACACTTTAAATAAAAAACCACCCCAAAACAGCAATAAATGAATAAATGAACATGCCAGCCATGACAATTACCATCTTCTAAAATATATTCCGGGATAAAACTGTAATATCCTGGATGCATGAAAAACGACAAATCGAAAATGTTAGTTTCTTTGACAGTGTGTTCAATTACGAAAAAAAAAATCAAGCCATCAACTAGCAAAAAGCCACTATATGTACATGCATTAGGTTAGTCGGACATGCTCTCAAACTCATTTGTTTACCTGGTTCGTGATAAGCGCTGGGGATAAGTTCTTGACACAACAAGTCGGAATTATCCCCTGACGCATCGAATAAAGAAAAAAAAAATTAGAAAAATACGAATATATGTATGTACAGAGATAAGAGAAAAAAATAAACTCATTGCCGATACCTCTGGCCCATTTGGGCAATGGACTGACGCGTCCGTGTTGGTGAGGCGTGGGGCTGAGCGCCCCCGTATCTCGGCCCGGAGTCGGTGTGTTTCTTAGCGGTTCGCCAACTACAAATTTTAGCCTTAAGAAAAGCCGTTATTCTACAGCGATCTCAATTATGTACAACAACAAAATATAAGTGCACGGTGTGATAATTGTGTGAATTATATATAAACACGAGTTATGATGTGAAAAGTGTAAGTTTAGTCCAATCCCAATACCTTTGTCAATAAAGTAACTGTTGGGGGCGGGTTCTGTAAGAATTAATAAGAGTTAGGTTTACTCCGTTTAGTGGGGCGCGACGAGAAAAAGTAACTTACCTAAGTTCAGGGAGTTGATGTCGGGGAGTGGGGGCAGGTCGGGGTTGATCTGGACGGCCTTGCGCACGTCTCCAACGGCGTTTAATAACTGAAAAAAAAGAGTGCAAGTGATAAATTTTGTCTAAATTTAATTTTAGTAGGGTAAATGTGTACAAGAGTACGCACTTAGTGTAAAACTGTCAATAACTTTTTAATTTTTTTGTATAGACAAATTTTATGATATGGGTTCGTCATATACATGTTTAGAGATCAGATGTATTTAATTGTACGTCCCAAGACCACTATATTTTAAGAGTAATTTCAATTTTTATCAACATGTGTAAATGCGCACTCTTAGACAGTTCATTGTACAAGAGTGCGCATTTGAACGCTTATGAGTGCGCATTACATTTTATGAAAAAATCTTTGTTTTTAAGGTGAAAATAAATGGGAATAAGTGACTACAGACTACACATAAAACGGGAGACCTATTTCTTTGTACGCTAAGGGTTTTGAAAAGTCGAGAAAATGTAAAAGTAGAGAGTCGATCGACGGACTCAATTACAACACGCTCAGGAAGTAAAAATTAAAAAAAAATCACCATAACCACCACCACACAACTTGAGAAGCAGTACAAAGTAGTAGAGTTAAATAATTCATTATCGTATGATATGTATCTACAAGACTATTGGACTACGTATCGCAAGCAACGCGCACTCTTATTATACAATACCTGGCTGCGCACTCTTGTACATTTGTACATAACCTAATGTTTTCAAAGTTAAAAGCTTTTGATGGATAGAAAGTATAAAACTGTTAGTGTATAACGACACCTTAAAAGTTACAGCTAATGAAAATTATTACTGTAAAATAAAAGAACTGGTACGTACCTTACAAAAAACTAAAACTATGAGCGGTAAAAATTACATCCACACAACGGGTGAACATAAAATCGTCAGTACGACCAAACTATAAACTATATTCAGGTCACTTTTGCACCTTTATCTCAGCTTTAGTATTAGACTCTGAATGGTATAACTTCATCTTACCCAGATGGCACTAATAAGCAAAAATCATCAGTGCGTACTCTTATACATATTCGCACTCTTGTACACATTTACCCTAACTAAAAACATGAAAATGGAGAAAACGGATTACAAATTGATTGGTTTCTACATGATGGTGAATCGCCGCATTACAGGCAGATCGCTCGAGATTTATTAAATTTTTCACTGCGAAGTGGATGGGTCAGCTTGGGTCCTCCACAACCCTGACGTCATAAAAAGTTGGTAAATCATATGATTTTTTTTCCCATTTTTAAAATACCTTTAAATCATTAAATAAATCATTTTGAGAATTTTCGACGGTAATTTGGAAAATGTCAAAAATTTCATATGGTGGTGTTTTGAAAATTTGAGTTATTAACGAACTTGTCATATTGGGGATAAGGGTAAGTACTTTTGAAGAAATCGAGCCGAAAGTTACTTCAGAACGAAATCTACAAAAAAAAATGTAAAGGGCATTGAAAATTTTAATTTATAGAAATATGGCCTAAAACTCCACAAACAATTCAAGGATATAAATCGCAATGAGCGGATTCGAAAACATTACGTGTTTATGACACGCATTCAAATTTTTGAAATATTCAATTTCAGTCACTTTTTTAAACATAAAAATAGCAGAAATTTTCAAAGAAATGAAGCTGACAATAGCTTCAAAAGGTCGAAATCTACAAAAAACCTCGTTAGATAATTTTCAAAGGTGCTCCAGAAAGCGCCAAAATTTGATGCAGGTAGTGAATTTCATTCTACGGGAAAATTGAGCTTTTGGAAAAATTGCTTGAAAATCCACACAAAATTCAGGGATATAAATCTCGATGACCTGATTCGAAAAACATTACGTGTTTATGAATCCCGCATTAAGATTTTAGAAATATTCGGTTTAAAAGTCAAATATTCTGAAAATTCTAAAAATTGTCTTTGTTCATATTGGCGATTTTGGAAAAAGAGTAGAAATGTTGGAAAAAATAAAGGAAAAAATAAGTTTACAAGGTCGAAATAGACAAAAAATTTCTTTCTGTAATTATTGGAGACGAACGAAAAAAAAATAATTTGGAAAATTTAACCAAAAATCCGCAAAAATTCGGAGAAATAGATCTTGACGAGCGATTCCAAAAATATTGGGTATTTGTGCTTCCCGACCAAGATTTTCAAAATAATTTTACTGTTTTTTTTAAATTGCCTGAAAATCAACAAAAATTTCAAGACAAATCTCAACGAGCTGAGTCGAAAAACATTGCGTGTTTATGAATCCCGCATTAAGATTTTCAAAATATTGAGTTTGAAAGTTAAATATGTATTTTGAAAATTCTAAAAATTGTCTGGATAATGGATAATATATCTTCCGCATCAAAATTTTCGAAATACTCGGTCAGCAAATGAAATTAAAAAAAAACGGAACAATTGTCATACTTCATTTTGGCGATACTGGAAAAATAGTAGAAAATATAGAAGAAACGAAACACAAAATAACTTCTGCAGTTCGAAATGTGCTCGACAACAGGTAAAAAATTTAGTAAGAAGTTTTTGGGAAATTTGCCCGAAAATGTACACACAATTCAGGGATATAAATCTTGACAAGCTGATTCGAAAAACATTGCGTGTTTATGGTTCCCCCATGAAGATTTTCGAAATATTCGGTTTAAACGTCAAAATTTTGAAAATTCAAAAAGTTGCCTTATTTCATCATATTGGCGATTTTGGAAAAATGGTAGAAATGTTCGAAGGAATAAACGCAAAAATGACTTTAGAAGGTCGAAATCGACAAAAAAATCTAGTTATGCAATTTTCGGAAGAGCTTGAAAAAAAGACAAAAATTTCGTAAGAGTGGAACATCAAACCAAAAATCCGAAAACATTCAGAGAAATAGATCTTGTTGAGCTGGTTCCAAAAATATTGGGTATTTGTGACCCCGACCAATATTGTCAAAATGTTCAACTTCAAAGCCAAATTTTTTGAAAATTTTAAAAATTGCCATATTTTATATACACGATTTTGAAAAGAACGGAAATTTTCGAAGGAATGAAGCTTCAGGATGTCGACATTTAGAAAAAAACTCGTTATGTAATTTTCGAAAATACTTGACAATAAAAAAATTACCTACAAATCCACAAACATTTTTATATTATATTTGGAGAAACTGGAAAAATGGTACAAAGTTCGAAATAATAATGGTGGTTTATTTCTACAAAAAAATCTCGTTCGAGTTCATACAAAAAATAAAGCTTGTTTAAGCTCCCGGATCAAGATTTGTAAAACATTCGCTTTGAACTTTATATTTTTTGAACATTAAAAAAAATGCCATATTTCATATTGCCGATTTTGGAAAAATGTAGGAATTTTTGAAAAAATGAATCCGCAAATAAATTTTGCATGTCGAAATCTAGAAAAAGGTCCGTTAGGTAATAAGTAAAAAATTTCGTGATGGGTGGGTATTAAAATATTGAGATTTGAAAATTCACAAAATTCGAATATTGCGAACGGTTCCGAGTCAAAATTTTCGAAATACACGATTAGAAAATGAAATTAAAAAATTTTTTTTTCTCATTTCGGTGATATTGGAAAAGTACAAAATATCGAAGAAACGAAACCCAAAATAATTTCTGCAGGTCGAAATGTACACAAAAAAATTCGTCATGTAATTTTCAAAGCTGCTCTAGAAAGTTAAAAAATTTAGTAAGAGGTTTTTGAAAAATTGAGCTTTTGGAAAAGTTGCCTGAAAATCATCAAAAAATTCAGAGATACAAAAATTTCAATGAGCTAATTCGAAAAACATTGCGTGTTTATGAATCCCGGAATAAGATTTTCAAAATATTCGGCTTAAAAGTTAAATATTTTGAAAATTCTAAAAATTGCGGTAGTTCACATTTGCCATTTTGCAAAGAGTACAAATGTTGGAAGAAATGAAGGAAAAAAATAACTTTAGATGGTCGAAATCGACAAAAAAATCTTGTTATGTAATTTTCGAAAGTGCTCGAAAATAAGTCAAAAATTTCGTATTGAAAAACTGAGCTTTCGGAAAGTTGTCTAAAAATCCACAAAAATTAAAAGTCATACTATATTTGGGGAAACTGGAAAAATGGTATAACGTTCGAAATATTAATAATGGAGGTTCATTTCTACAAGAAATCTCTTTAGGTAATTTTCGACGAGAAAAGAATAAGTTTTTTTGAAAAATTGTCCAAAAATCCACAAAAAATTAAGGGATACATATCTCGACGTATTTATAATAATATTAATAATAATAATAATATTTATTGCCCAACAGAAATTACATTCCATTTAAAGGACAATTTTGCACACATGCTTATACAAAATGAAAATAAATATTTATGCGAAAAATAAAGCGTGTTTAAGCTCCCGAAATAAGATTTGTAAAAAATTCGGTTTGAAAATAAAAATTTTTGAAAATTTTAAAAATTGCCATATTTCAGATTACCGATTTTGGAAAAATAGTAGGAATTTTTCAAAAAATAAAGGTATGAAGCAAAAAATTTCGTAAAGGGTGGGCATTAAAATATTGAGCTTTAGAAAAAATTTCCTTAAAATTCATAAAAAAAATATGGACATAGATCTCGACGACCTGATTTGAAGAATATTGCGAGCAGTTCCGCATCAAAATTTTCGAAATGCTCGGTTAGAAAGTGAAATTAAAAAAAAAAACAACGAAAAAATTGTCAAATTTCATTTTGGCGATAATGAAAAAATAGCAGAAAATATCGAAGAAACAAAACCCAAAATGACTTCTGCAGGTCGACGAAATGAACAAAAAAAATTTCGTCATGTAATTTTCAAACGTGCTCAAGAAAAGGTAAAAAATTAGTTTTGTGAAAAATTGAGTTTTTGAAGAAGTTGCCTGAAAATCATCAAAAAATTCAGAGATATAAATCTCAATGATTTGATTCGAATAACATTGCTGTTCATGGATTCCAAATTAACATTTTCGAAAGAGTAGAAATGTTCGAAAAAATAAAGGCAAAATAACTTTAGAAGGTTGAAATCGACAAAAAAATCTCATTATGTAATTTTCAAAAGTGCTCGAAAAAAAGACAAAAATTTCATAAGAGCGAGCTACTGGAAATTTAACCAAAAATCCGCAAAAATTCGGAGGAATAGATTTTGGTAAGGTGATTCCAAAAATATTGGGTATTTGTGGTCCCGGACCAAGATTTTCAGAGTGTTCAATTTTAAAGTCAAATTTTGTGAAAATTCTAAAAGTTGCCATATTTTATATTGAAAGAGTGGAACTTTTTGAAGGAATGAAGTCGATAATTACTTCAGGATGTCATGTAGAAAAAAACTCAAAAATTCGTTATGTAATTTTCGAAAAGGTCGAAAATAAGTCAAAAATTTCGTACCTATTGGAAAACTGAGCTTTTGGAAAGTTGTCTAAAAATCCACAAAAAATGTCATTTTATATTCGAGGAAACTGGAAAAATGGTAGAAAGTTCGAAATAACTTATTCAGGTTGATTGCTACAAAAACATCTCGTTAGTTAAAAAATTTCAAAAGAGGTTTCTTCAAAAAATTTCTAAAAATCTACAAAAAGTTCAGGGATACACGTCTCGAAGAGTTCATACGAAAAAATGCCTATTTAAACTCCAAGATCAAGAATTGTGAAACATTCGGTTTGAAATTAAAATTTTTTGAATATTTTAAAAATTGACACATTTCATATTGGCGATTCTGGAAACAAGAGTAGGAATTTTCGAAGAAATGGAAGCCGAAAATAACTTTTGTAGGTCGAAGTTTACAAAAAATCTCGTTAGATATTTTCGAAGATAAATCGAAAACAATCAAATATTTCGTAAGAGAGGACTAGTGGAAAAGTGAGTTTTTGGAAAATTTGACTAAAATCCACAAATAATCCAAAGATATGGATTTTTGAAATATTTGGTTTGCAAGCCAAATTTTTGAAAATTATAAAAGTGGACGTAATTTATATTCACGATTTTGGAAAAAGAATGGGAATTTCCGGATAAATGAAGCCGAAAATAACTTCAGGAGTTCGAAATCTAGAAAAAAATTAATTTTTGAAGGTAAGTAAAAAATTTCAAATGGGAATATTTAGTTTTTGGAAACTGTCTAAAAATTCACAAAAAATTTGGTTATAGATGTCGACGACCTGCTGATTCGAATAATACTGCGCATGGTTCCGCATAAAAATTTTCGAAATACTCGATTAAAAAGTAAAATAAAAAAAAAGAAAAAATTCGACTTGAAAGTCAATCGAGAGAAGTCAAAAATTTCATAAGAGAAAAATTGAGATTTTTGAAAATTTCACTAAAAATCCACAAAACATCGAGGAGTTGAATCGAAAAACATTCGTTCTCAAAATTCTTTTTTTTAATAAATTCTAAAATGTCATATTTGATAGTAGCGATTCTGGAAAAACAGCAGGAATGTTTGAAGACATAAAGTCGAAAATAACTTTAAAAGGTCGAAATCTATCAAAAAAAAAAAAACTCGTTGGGTAATTTTTAGAGGTACTCGGAAAATAAAAAAATTCAAAGTCGAGCTTTCGGAAAAGTTGCCTGAAAGTCAACAAAAAATTCAGGGATATAAATCTCAACGAGTTCATACGAAAATAATGAATGTTTAAAGTCGTGTGTCAACATTTACTAAATATTCGATTTGAAAGCCTATTTTTTTGGAAATTTTCAAAATTATCTGGATTCATATACATCTAAAAATAAAAAATTCCACAATTTTGAGATGACAGCATCAAGTTTTTGGAAGGAGTGGATGTTCTTTAAATTAAAAATAAATAAATTATAAAATATAAATTTTTCTTTAATTTAGTTCAAGTGTAGAATTTAATTATTTACATTTTAAAACCGAATGTTGCTAACAGATTCTGCACCGCTTTAAGAGTCGTTGCATTATGTAACCTCATTAAATATTAATATTTAAAAGTGCATGAAAATAGATTGAACATCTGTTTTAATGTGTGGGCGAAAAATAAGTGAAAGGTGTAGACATAACACGCCTTCCAAAACCATAAACAATAAGTACGAGCACGTGCTATTTATTTAATGTAATATAATTTAGTACCAAGCAAAACGAAATTTTTGCCATACAAATATAATCGAGCACCACAGGATTTAATAAGCGCACTTCGGAAAATTTTTGAAAATTTTAAAAATTTATTTTGTGGAAACAGAGCGTTCCATGTTTTTATATTTTACCATGTGGGTCGTTAAGTATTTATTATACATTCCTGTTTTCGAACATTATTTAAATATTTTGACAAGTTTGGCATCTTCAGAACACTCAAGAAAAATCCAAAGCAGGAATATGTTAAATAATGCTCGTACATTGTCTTGACATTTTCAAAAAATATGTTAGATTGGTTAGGGGCCCAAAGATTCTGAAGATTTTAAAGAGTTTCTAAAATTCCTATGACCGCAGACTCAAAAAAAAAAACAAAATCCATAAGGATTCCAAAAACTCCAAAAAAAGTCTTTCAAAGAGCCAAAAACATTTCCAACGCTTCTAAAAGCTTTCAAAAGTTCCAAAGATTTTAAAAACTTTAAAAAGAACCAAAAAGACAATGACCCTAAAACTTTCAAAAGTACACTAAAAAAAACTCCAAAGATTGCAAAAACTATTTAATATTACTTGGGATCCCTGGATTCCAAAGAATCTACGGATTCTTGGAACTTTAAGGACTTCCACTGACTGCAAGAATCCTCAGAAGTTCAACGACAGCACGGATTTTACAACACTCAAGGATATTAAAGCTTTTAAAAATTCTACATATTAGGAGGCTCCAAAAATCCAAAGACTAAAAATTCCAAAAAATATAAAGATCCTAATTTCAAATATTCAAAGATTTTAAATCTCCAGAAACAAGAAGAATCCGAAAACAATTTCGTACTCCTCTTTGTTGATGCCACCTGTGTTGGCGAAACGCGTCTATACCACATCGATAAAAACCTAAATAACAATAATAATAAACTACTCACCGCCTTATTTGAGTCCCTCCACCTCGACACCGCGCTCGCATCCCCCGGATTGACCGCCACCGACTTGGCGTCCTGCACCATCGGCGGCACCGTGCCCTGCAGCCCGTCCGACGCCCTGTTCACATCATCGATGAACGCCGGATCCTCCGAATTGTCGCTCTCCTGCTTCGCCACCAGCAGCACCCTGTTCGCCAGCCTCGCAATCGCCGACGTGTTATCCACCATCTTCTGCGGCTGCTTGTTCTTGATGGCCTCCTCGCACAAGAACGTGTGCTTCCTCATCTGCTCCTCCGACGCCTTGATAAAATCGGCCGAATCCGTCGCCTCGTCGCACAGATTCCGCATCTTCGTCACCGTGTCGGCGTACTGCTGCCTCAGGTTCTCGAAGTGCTCGTCCGCCGCCTTGCTCGTCGGGTAGTTCATGCGGATGCTGCCCGCCGACACCAGCTGCGGCGTCAGGCTGTCCACCTGGTTGGCGGCGCTCTGCAGCGACTCGGCGAGCTTCTTGTTGCCGCCGCTGCCGCCCGCCGCCACCATCTTGGCGGTTTTGACGGCGCGGTTCGAGAACTGCTGCAGGTTGGCGGCCTTGTCGGAGAAGTTCTGGTCGCGGTTGGGCGTGCCCTCGGGGGCCAGGGCGGCCTCGGTGAATTGCTTGAGGGGGGTGACGATGTCGATGAAGTCCTCGACGACGCGGTTGACGACGGCTTGGTTGATGCGTTCTTTGAGTTCGTGGAGTTTTTGGGAGAGCTTTCGGGCGATCTCTTGGGCTTCGGGCGAGTTGCCTTTGCCCTGGGCGCAGAGCTCGGCGAGGTCGCGGGATAGGGAGTCGACTTCTTCGCAGAGCTGGAGGATTTCGGCTTTTTGGACGCCGGGGAGGCCGTCGGCGACCTAAAAAAAATGTTCTTGTATTAAATGTATGTAAAGCTAGTTTTCACTGTTTAGTAGTATCAACGTGAGTTAGAAAATTTTTAGTCGAATTTCCCGCCAAAATCATGAAAACATGCGTTTCATTATTTTAAGTAGCCGAGTAAGTCGATGTTCCGCTCTATAACGATGACGGACATGAGGAAATTCCACGTTGTCGGCTTACTCATAAGACATAACTAAGATATTATACCATATACGGTTTTAAAATTGCTACAGTTTATATACACACTTACGACTGTATATATGGGTATTTTAATACGTTTCCCAGAAGTTAGCAATATAATTTCATGTGGTTTCATAACTGAGCAACGTTTCGTTTTTATTCAATTTTTAATTCTGAATATTGATCGTGATTTTCTTTGAAATATTTAAATAAATTTATTAAAGTAAAAAAAACTAAACTACAAATTTAACATGTTTATATCACAAAAGCAGCAGCAATTGTATTATTTTTTTTTATTATTTGTATTTTATATTAGGAAAAACTTCATCAAATTTACTTAGAGACAAGTTGGAAAATGTTACCAAATACAGGGTCTTAAATTGTTTGAAAAACATGAGAAAACTCACACTTGGAAATTTAATCACCTTGTATAAATCAACTGTTCAATTTTTATATGGCTCTTAAACACAGCTGGAAAAAGTTCAATTAAAATGAAAAAGTATCACGAAAAATCAAAACTTTGGAATTTTTGATTATAAACGTTTATTCAGTTTTAAATTTTAGTACTATTTATGTTTACAAAGTTTACTAGAATATTTTTGGTTCTTTGTTATATCAGTCCGACAAATTTTTGGGACAATGATAAAATTTGATTTTGCCAATTTAATTTTTTTTAAGATAAAATCGGGACGGATTCATAAGCTACAAGTTTAGGATTGTTATTTTATCAAATTTAAATATCATTTACTATGCAAAATTTTTACGTGACGTCATCAAAATATTAGTGGGATGTCCAGGCATATAAACGGTATTATTTAAATACGAATAAAATTCGGTAACAATCAGTCCAGTAGTTTCGGACATTATCTGTCTAATAAAAACGACATGGACGTAAGACAGATAGAAATATTTTTTTAACTTTGGGAGCCATGAATTCCAGACCCCCATTTTTAAAACTGACGGTGGACGGTTCTAGAAAAATGGTAGGCGATTGAAAAAATGAATCGAAACTTCTGAAGGTAGCAACCAATAAAAAATATCTTTCAGTTAAATTTTGAAAAATGGTCAAAATTTTCGTAAGGGGCCGGTTGTGAAAAAGTTGCCAAAAAAATCCCAAAAAGTTCTGGCATAAATTTCGTCTTTTTGCTCTCGGTGCAAGAAACCTTTTTTTTTTTTAATCCAAAAAATTCCAATATTTCAGTGGACGATTCTCAAAAAATGGTAGAAGCTATCGACGAAATGAGTCCGAAACTAACTTCCGGAGGTCGAAATCAATAAGAAACTGTCTTTGGTTAAATTCCGAAAATTGTCGAAAATTGGTCGAAATTTCCCAAGGGTATTGAAAAATTTTGCACTTGAAAGAGTTGCCAAAAAATTCCCAAAAAATTCTGGGATTTAAATTTTGTTGTACTGACTCCAAAAACATAGCGTTTTTATGCCCCGGTGCAAGATTTAAAAATAGTCAGTTTGAAAATACGTATGTACATTTTTTTTAATCCAAAAAAATTGAAAATTTAGGAACGTCAAAAATTGAAAAACTGAAAAATTTTAACACCGTAAAATTGAAGAGTGGAAAAATGGAAAAATTTCTAAAACCGAAGTATCTGAAAATGGAGAAATTTAAGTATGAAGAAATCGAGAAATCGAAAATTTGGAAAATCGAGAAGTTGAAGAGACAAAAACTTGAAATATACCAACAGTGAAATGTCGAATAATTGAGCAAACGAAAAATTCAAAAACCTAAAATTTAATAAAAATCGAAAAAATAAAAATTGAAATATTGCAAAATCCCAAAACTGAAATTTTAAAAAATAATAAAAATTGAAGAATCGAATCACTGAAAAATTGAGAAATCCAAAAATCGAAAAGGTGAAAAATCAAAAACCTGAAAAAATGAAAAATCGAAACATTGAAAAGTCGACAAATCAAGCAACCAAAATGAATCGCGAAATTGTGAAATGAAAAAAATTAAAAATCAAAATTCGAAAAAATGAAAAATTGAAATCGAAGACCTGAATATCGAGAAATTAAAAAATTGAAAAAAATTTTAAAAACTGAAAGGTTAAAATATCATAAAATTAAAAAATCTAAAATTTGAAAATCGAAAAATTGAAAAAATTAAAAATCGAGAAATCGAAAATCCGAAATTCAAAAAAAATTACAAAAAAATTAAAATCGAGAAATTGAAGAAACGAAAAACTGGAAAATCGAAAATTTCGAGACATCGAAACAAAAAATATACAAAAACTGAAACATCGAGAAATCGGAACATCAAAATATCGAGAAATCAAGAAATAGAAAACTAGAGAAGTAGAAAAATCGAAATAGACCAAAATCCAGAAATCGAAAAAACTGGAAAATAAAAAAATAAAAAAATTAAAAACCTAAAATTTGACAATGGAAAAATTGAAAAACCGAGAAATCGAAAATCCAAAATTGGCAAAAATGACAAACAATGAAAAATCGGGAAATTGAAGAATCGAAAAACTGAAAACTCGAAAAACTGAAAAATTTCAAAACTGAAATTGAAAGAGTTGCCAAAAAATTCCCAAAAAATTCTAGGATTTAGATTTTGTTGTGGTGACTCCAAAAACATGGCGTGTTTATGCCCCGGTGCAAGATTTAAAAATAGTCGATTAAAAAATACATATGTACATTTTTTTATAAAAAAAATTGCAATATTTCTGTGGGCGAGCCTGGAAGAAATGAGTCCGAAACTAACTTCAGGAGATCGAAATCCAAAAGAAAATGTCTTTAACTAAAGCCGAAATTTTCGAAATTAAACTAAATTAAATTGCCAAATCATTATTTACGTCGCGATTATAATCAAGTTATTAAAAAAATATGTATTTAAATCCCCCTCTTTTCAATTCTGCCTTTTGAAATAATACTAAAAATATTGCATAATGCGGCTTTCTTAAACTCTACATTAAAAAAAATATATATGGAATACTGACTCGAATAAAATATTTACATCAAATAAAACACTCATTTTCTTTTGATTGTTTATTTCCCAAGCGTAAAATAGGGAAGTATTGTTAATTCTATTCGGAAAACGGCTACTTTTATGTTTTCTCGACGTTTCATGATCTCCAGAGTATGAAAAATAGGTCTACCATTTCCTCCGTCTGTCTGCCTGTCTGTCGCCTCTCGCGTGTGTCGATTTTATAAGACAGATAATTTTCAAGCCTACTGGACTGACTGTTGTCAACTTTTATTTGTACTTACGGAATAATAATAGGTAAATTCAATTCAATTTAAATTTAGTTTAACGTCAAGAAATCGAAATATCAAAAAATCGAAAAATGTAAAATTTAAAAAAACGAAAAATTGAAAAATAGAAATATCGAAGAACTGAAAATCGTGAAATCGAAAAATATAAAATTTAAAAAACTGAAAAACTAAATTTTATCAAAAAAAAATGTAATCTAAAATTTGACAACGGAGAAATTGAAAAACCGGGAAATCGAAAATCCAAAATTTAAAAAAATAGCAAAAAATCAAAAATCAGTAAATTATAGAATCGAAAAACTGAAAACTCGAAAAACAAAAAATTACGAAAAATCAAATATCATCAAAAGATTGAGAAATCGAGAAATGAAAAAGTCAAGAAGTCGAAAAAATCGAAAAATTGAGATATCGAATAGGCCAAAATCGAAAAGTTCATAATTAAAAAATCAAAAAATCTAAAATTAAAAAAATCGCTAAATCGAAAAATTGAAGAATCGAAAAACTGAAAAACCGAAACATTGAAAAGTTGAGAAATGGGAAAATCAAAAAAATCATTTAATCGAGAAATGAAGAAATTGAAAATTTAGGAACGTCAAAAATTAAATAACTAAAATTTTAAAGCCGTAAAATTGAAGAGTGGAAAAATTGAAAAATTCTAAAACCGAAGTATCGGAAAATGTTTTAAATTTCTAAGAATAAAAAAATCATCACAATTGAGACGGGCGGGTGGGCGGGGTTTATATTTTGCGTTTTTGTTTCTTAATACACATAGTATTCTTTGAATAACACGACACTCAAAAATATGTTTTTAATTTCTTGTAAAGAAATAAGCATTTTGCAGTTAAAATCCGCCCCCTTGGTTCACGGCGAATAAAAAAAATCATCGCAATTAAGATAGGGTGGGTGGGCGGGCTTACATTTTGCCTTTTTTATTTTAATGGGTACACTTCTTTTCAAAACATGAAACTTAAAACATATTTAAAATGGAAAATTTGTATTTTTTATTTTATATAAGTACAGATAGGAATAAGACTTTCATAGACACACTATGTTTTTATTAAATCGTGGAAAAACAAGCTAATAATCACCTACACGATGTTGGTATTTATGTTATATAAATTTTGTTTATACAACAGTACAGCATTTAAGTAGAATTAGAATTTATTTATAGTTTTAAATCAATAATATTATCATTGATTTTTATTATGTCCTATAAATGGGTGTTGTACCTGTGGGACATAAATATACTTAAATGTTATTATTATTTATTTATTTACAACATGTTTCAATTTTCTCCAAATTTTTTCACCAGTTAAAATATAGCTCACCTTTTGTTAATATATTACTTTATCAGCACCTAAAAATTTATTTAGATGGAACATTGTTTCGAAAACACAACTACAAAGTCTTTCAATTTAGACAACAAAAACAGGGACACTATTATTAGCACCAAAATAAAGGAGTCAGCAACTACTAAACCATGCTTCATAAAACTCGTTAATACCACCTGACTTTTCAGAAAAGAAAGTTATTTTGGGCTATTTTCAACCTATTTCTCGCTTGCTCC